TGGTGAACAGCAGAGGACTGATTGTACTGAGCTGCTCTGAGGTGTAGTGTGTCAGTGTGGTGCTCTGTGTGGTTTTATACATCATCTCATGTGGTTTTTATAGGGATTTGAACACATGTATGTTCTTTCTTTTTACATTACTAGTGTCAGACTAGGACGGCGTGTTCACCAAATCTTTATTCTCAACAGGTTCTTCATGCTATTCATTTCTGTGGTGCATCTCGTTTCTCCTAGATATATAAATCATGCATACTGTATGTTTTTTTTACTGACTCAGAATGGACCTTTGTTACATAGCATCCGTCAGAACTTCATTGGTGTGGTCAGAAAGATCATTCCATACTATTCACTAAGATGAGATATACTTGAGATCTATCCCAGAAGTTGGGAAATTCCTGTTATAGCAGGCAAAACATTATAGACTACATATAGAAAACTACATACCAGCTTAAATAGAGTAGAGAAATGGCTGACTAAGTACTTTTTTTCCCAGTTAACTTGAAGAATTAAGTACAAAAATCAAGTACAAAAGAAAAGCATTTAGAAACTTGAGTATAATACAAGTGAAAGCCTAAAATTAAAATACAAATACAATAAAATTATATATAAAACACTGATTAAGCGTTTCTGTGACTTACTAAAGTAGCATATTTGGATTCTTTTCCTTCCTTTTAAGCTATGCTGTGTTTCATCAAATTCACGGTATTATTGAGGACCAGGAATATGAATCCTCGGCTCTAAACGTCTGGGATGAAGACTCACTGAAGAACTGGACATCTGTGCTAGTTATACACTTATTCAGGCAACATCTTATCCCGTCTTTCTAAATAAATAACCACACTGAGCTGCACCAATCACGGCCACGTGTGGTGCACAATGAGGCAAACGTTATTTTTCATTAATTATATTTGGCTTAATTTGTAGTCAACCACCACAAACCTCCGTAAATCATTATTATGTATAATTAATTTAAATATTCTCCTCCCAAACTTTGCACTCTGAAAGGGAAACTCCTACAAATAAGGCCAGCTCCTAAAATTACAGTGTCTGTACATTTTAGTTGCAAATTATTAATAATATGGCTCCTCGGTAAATCCTGACAGTAGTTCTTCAATGCCAGCTGGCCCTGGTGTTGGTGAATCTGGCCTCAGTAGATTCACTGACTGATCATTGGCGAGGCACATGTGTATGTTGGGAGCATTGCTGGTAATTCTTACCCTCCGTCCTTTTGCGAGCCAAGTGACTGAAAGTGAATGTATGTTTTTATGTCACCGATCCACCATGCTACTATCAGGGCTTAGCAGAGAAGCTTTTGTACAAACACTTCAGCTTTGAAAAGCACTTTAAATGATTTGAGCTGAAGCCTTATTCTTGTTATTACTATTACTTTATTATCTTCGGCTAAACTAGTTTTGAATCCATTTTTCCACAGAGCAGGGGCTGTGGATTATTTCCACGGTGTCTTACAGTGAAGTGGAGGGAATCTCTAGGATGGAAGGAATGTTAGGAAGGAAAGCAACCAGAAAGAGCAAGCGATTACAACGATCAGCTCTCTGAAAGCAGTGTAATGGTTGAATTACTGAGACATAATTTAAGGGATCTGAACTTTCCATACAATAATACTTCATAATAATATGTTTGTACTTGTTTCTTTGTTACTTAGACACTGGTTACCTCACGGATCTCTGCAAGTTGGGTCATGCACTGCTTTCGTGTCGTTTACTTTGCCGCTGTGCCGGTATATTGGTAGTAATTTCATGCATGATTTTTTTTTTTTAATGAATTCTTCAGATACTTCCATACGAACAGACAAAACACCCACTGTATTAAATCATCTGCTGTTAGGAGCACTGTTAAGTTTATTGACCGGGGCTCTGCATTAATTGTGCATCCTAGTCATATGATTATGCAAAAATTAATGTAAGGCTGCAAAAAATAATTCTAGTTTTATATTGCTCAAGTGCTTGGCCTGATAACTGTGGGTTTCTTTATGGATGGGATAAGAAATGTGGCATCGGTGATGAAATGCTGACAACAAACTGCTTAAATGTTGCAGTGAAACAAAAAAAATTGTGCTGGAAATGCTAACAACACGCTCTCAAGTGTCATGCTGGAGAAGTCTGAGTTAGCATCAGAGCTGGTGGCATCTCTAGCTGTTTGATGTGCAAGGCACACCACTAATCAAAAAGGAGTCCTTTTTACAGACACATCTCCTGGTAATACTGTTTTTCATTCCAGAGAGCTGAGTATTTAAGTCAGGGATTAAAGTGCAGTGCATGGTTCAACTTCCTCCACCTCAGGAACCACTTATTCCCCATCCTCAGTCTGTGTACACTTACAGGCTGCTGCTGCTGCTGCTGCCACCGCCGCCACCGCCTCCGATTCCTGTTTTGAAATTCTGGCATTTTGGGTGGAAAGTGCTGTGAGAAACTTGAGCCACTCTCGTCCTCTTGGAGCCTTTATGCCTGGCTGCATAATTTAATTGGTATAAGAGATGTGTGTGGCCTCATGTTGAGACAAGGGGGGCACACAAAGTTGAGCACGAGTAAGGTAATTATTCCTGTTGAGAGGTGCCAAAAGTACAGGCATTCTGTACTCAAGTAGAAGTACAGTTACTAGTGTTTAAAAATACTCCAGTAAAAGTTGAAGTACTGATTCAACTTCTTTACTCAAGTAAAGGTGTAAAAGTACAAAAGTAGTTCCTCAAAGAACATCTCTACCACCTATTTTTACGCAAAGCTAACTAAACCTTGTCCCACATTAATGTAATAATGAAATTATATTAGTAGATAGGAATACAAACTTTTTGTTAGTCAGATTTTCAATTCTAATAAAGCTTGAATCAGGTAAGTAGAACATGAGCAGAGAAAAAAAAGGAAAATAAAAAATAGCTCTATTTTCTCTTGCCTACATTGTAAAGGTTGTCTTTGCCTCTAAACAGGTGGGGGAACCCTAAAATCAGCTGTAGTGGCTCAGAGTGGGAAAAGAATCACAACTTACAATAATTTCTGTTGAGAGCTGCAGTAGATTTTCTTAGTGTACAGGCTGTGGCAAGGTGACCTGCTGCTCTTTGTGGGTGTACACAATTGAATTCAACCGGATGTTTCATGAGTTGTCCTGGCTGATTTCCATCCTCTACACTGACAGTATGTTTATGCTGGGGGTCTTTTTCTAGATGGTACAAGGTTCTTACGAGAGTGGATTTCAGTGAATGAATCTCAGCATCACCAACTTAACTTCACATTTAGCTCTGCTATTCTTAATGTACCTAACTCTGACCATGAAACCACGGACACTGTGCACACACTGTTCTTTAGAATCCATCACAGTACAGCAAACTAACCTGTTTGCCCTAAAAAAAAAATCAGTCCCTTTTATTCTTGCTAGTCTTCTGTAGGGCTAGCTACGTGCTGAAGTACTGAGATAGCAACTTATGGACACCTGCAGTCGTTCCGGTGTTGTGTCAAAAAACAACACTGGCCCACTCTAACCTCTGAGTATGACACACGCTTCTGCCTGTTTGATCTTGTTTTAGTCAACATTTCCTGGTGATTAATACACAAAAAGGAGTGCCTTTCATGTGTTACTGTTTAGGCTCCAGTCTGCTTGATGTTGGTGGCCTGCAGTGATGAAATAACTCCCTTCAGTTCCGACAAACCAAAAGTAACAAGTCTGTTTTAAGAATGTAAGAAGTAGAAAGTACAGAAAAAAAAAGTAGTGTGTAAAAGTAAAAAGTTGTCAGACAAATAAACTCAAGTACAGATACCTGAAAATTCTACAGTAACAGAGTATTTCTGCTTTGTTTCTTCCCACCCCTGTTCCTGTTTGGGCTGTGTGCTCGAATCAGCATGCAGTTCTGAAGCTGCTGGAAAAGCAGAAAACTGATTTCTGATTGTGAGCTGGTGCCGATCCAGGTGCAAACTTGGGTCCTGATATGATCAATCAGATCAAAGTTTAAGCCTGTCCCCTCAGAATCAGTTCTTTTTTTAAAACACAACTTTAATTTAAGGAAGTTATGCATGCATTTTACTTTGAAGTTATGAAAATTTAAAATTACAAGCTAGTCGAGACAAAAAAAACGTTTACTGTGAACATTCCCTAGTCTGCCTTTCAGCACACCCCTTTTCTTTCCATGCAAGTCAAATCCCCCTTTTTTGATTTAAGTCTTAGTTTCTGAATTGTACCTTTTCACATGCTAAAAATGTGATCAACAGAAAAAGAGAGAGCAGCTGTCTTGTTCTTTGGACTCCTTAGAAACTTTACGCAACCCTCGTCGCCTCTGTTTTTAATTGAGCCGGTGTAAGAACGCCCTATGACGGGTGCTCTGAGACACCCAGGGGTACTGTGGGAGCCTGGGTGCATTCTTCACTTTTCTTTAAACTAGATATTCACAGACTGATAGACCATTCTCTGCCAGACAGACTCTTTCAAGGAGTGATAGCACTGCCTTGGGCACTGGTTGGGGGATTTCACCAGCATACATTACAGTTTTTGATGGAGTAAAAAAAGAAAAAAGGCTTCTTTAAAGGCTTGAATTCTTTAAAATAAAAGGGGAAGAAACAGCACAGAGTACCAGCCTGCTGAGCTTTCTGTGAATGGTTGCACAGATTGTGAGTGTCGGGTTTAGTTTCCTAGATTGGAAATTATGCTGATATTTTTGGACGCTGTCTGACTTAAACCTTTTGAACTTTTTCACATGACCATTAAGTGTTATTAAGTGCTGACAGCGCAATGATGTCGCAATGTTTAGTCCATCTCTCTTTACTGAGGAGAAGCCTGCTAGTGCGGCTAGCAGTGTGACTGGATATTTAACCGTATATGAGACTTGCTCTGAATGAGGAAATGTGTTGTAAAAGGTCTTTTATGTCCAGTGATCTCAATAATTTCTTCAGAATAGAGGTGTTTAAGTGATGTCAGTCCACAGAGTTTAAGGGCTCAATCATCTCCTGCACTGGATGAGGTTCTCACCGAAGTAAAATCTGTTCCTTCTTTTCACACAGGCCTCGACGCAGAGCTGTACTACGTGCGACACGATGTGGTGAACCATTACGCGCTTTCCTTCAACATGTCTGTGCCCACTGAGACCAACAGCCTCTACTTCACATGGTACTCCAAGACAAAGGTGAGACCGAGCATGTTCTCAGCACACAGGTCATCTGATCACACATGTGAGGGAAATATTAACATTTCTTCTCCGTTCCTCATTTAAAGGTTGACTACCGGCTTTCATTCAGCGTGGAGAACCCCGTAGCCCTGAACCCGCCATGGTGCAACATCTCCCTTCAGGGGGAAGTGCCCCGTGTTCCCTCTGGTCTGTCATACTACCTTTAATTTTTAAAGAAAAGTTCTGAATATCCTGAAGCTATGATGGAGTTTTTATGTGTGTGTAATATTTATGTTTTTGTGTGTGTGTGTGTGTGTTTCCTCCGCAGTCTTCAAAGTGGACATCTTATGTTCGGGCAAAGTAGATGAAGAGGCATTTTTAACAATGCAGCTGAATCTGACCATCCATGCCAACAACTACACAGTGCTCAACTTCAAGAGGAGGAAAATGTGCTATAAGAGTAAGAATCTGTTCATCTACACAAATGTGAGGTTTAAAAACTCTCTCAGCTCTGAAAAGTGAAAAGCTCCTTATGAAAATAAGTTGGATCACAAATGGGTGCAAAGTTTTGAGCCGGCCCATGTAATTAGAGGTCTTGTAGCAAGGAAAATATTAATAGCATGAAAAGACATTTTTAGCTTTATCAATTATGAAGCTCAAAACAGAGTAAGAGCTTTGTAGTGAAATCTGATGACATCTGACAATTTTTTAGTAATATTGAAAAGCAAAATTGTAAATTAAAAATTTAAATCTGATTAAAATAAAATAAAATGGGGTAACTGGAGAAGTGCTGGGGGGGGAGGGGGACTGGAAGAACTATGACCAGTCAAATGTTATTAAAAACATCCAGGGCCCCTCGAGGTAACATGTAACAAATGACCTCTGTTTCTGTGCGCTATAGACGATAAAAATTGAACCATCGCGTATCAGGCTGCACCTTCTCCAGGAGCTTTAAAGAACCCAGCAAAGCAATTAATCCTCTTTTATTCTCGCCATTGTCAGCCTGTAAACAGTAGTACTTGGTATGCTTTCGGTGTCATTTCAGCTAGTCACGCACATCACGATTTTTCTTTTTTGTAACCTGACACGGTTGGTTGCAGGTTACCTCACAAGCTTTACAAATATTCATTCAGATGTCAGAATGGACTGTAGACACTGACTGGTCTGTGGTAACATCACAGCCCGTGTGAAACACAACCAGTGAAGTGACCACAACACCTTCTGGCCTCTGGGGGCAATGGTGAAGTATGCATATCCCTTCTAAGGCCATCAGACAGGAACCACAAATTAGAAAGACATCTCACAGCTCGCAGCAGTTTAAAAACACTCTTTCCTTACCAAGGATTGTGTAAATGCAGGGGGATACAAAAAAATTAATAAGAAAGAGACATAAAAACATAACAGCAGGGCAGACACACTCGAGCAGCATTGATTTAGATTAAGAAAGACTACAGATGCACCAGGGTCCTAGATCTCTCTTCATGTCATTACCTTATGTATTTAAAGGGAGTTTACCAGGCAGACATGAACCCTTTAAAGGTCATATCAATAAATGTCACCCTTCTAATTTCATTAAATAAATAAATAAATAAAAATCTGTCATACTGCTGGTTCCCCTACATTATTAACCAAACGTTAAAGTAACAGTAGGTAGATGTGCCGGTTCTTGTGTTCCTCATTTGCTGCTATTTTCAAACTGCCTGAAGATAATTACATGTGGCCCAGAGGCTTCTTGCCATATGCCCCCATGGAAACAAATTTATTCCCGTCTTATTTTAAGCAGGAGTCAAATTGGTAGCATGAACAGATTCTTTGTGTGCCTGAGTTGCAGTCATTCCTCCCTGTCGCTGCCTGCAGTGACACTGGAGAGGACTGAAAATGTTTGTCCGTGTTTGCTGTTGTCGTCAAACTTGTTGTCAAAATAAGTTAACTGCTGTTGTCGTCAAACTTGTTGTCAAAATAAGTTAACTGCTCAACTTTTCAAGGGTTTCATCATCACCCTCTAAACAAGACCAAACTAACAGAGTGAAGAGTTTGTGTTTTGCGTTCTTCTGTTTGAAGCAGAGCTTTTTGTTTAATGTTGAAATAAATGAGCTGCTTTTGGGTTTTATAATAAATTGCACCAAAGATTTAGGAAAAAAAAAAATCCCTGTCGTGTAGTAGAGACATGCTTTTTAATTATTATTTTTTATTTAAACCACATTTTCTGTGTTGCTGTTATGTTGTATGGATAAATTACTTGTAACGCTCAGCTGTTATGCATCACTGCGGTATTGGTCTGAAATGCTTTATCCTTGGAGTTCAGAATATGTGGTGGAAGTCCGAGGTCCCATATTTCCTGGGTTCATGTAGTCAAAGAAACTGAAAGTAAAAAATGTTATCTGTTATCATGAGCATTTTTAAACTTCACTGAGTGCTTACTTTTTTCTTTCAGTGTTACATGTTTTGCATCACATCACATCATAGTCTGTTGGTTGTGGATGGAACTTGTTTTTGAGAAGAAGTTTAAATTTCATTTTGTGTTTTTAGGGGAAAAAGTGTTTACAGGCGTGATAGTGTATACAGGTGAACCAGTGAGAAGAAAAGTTGGTTTAAATCACCAGACGAAATATGGAGAAAAGCAAAAAACACTTTGCTAAAGTGCTCATACCAGCCTTAAAATGAATGAATAATCATCAGGAGCATGGGTTTATAAAGAAAGGCTCTAAAACAGAGGCTGAAATAAGAGGTTACACCAAGCCTATGTTAATAAAGCCGAGTCCGAGCTAGAAGTTAGCATCATTTGAATATATTTTGATAATTTGATGTTAAATGAAGTTTATGTATTTCTCTCTCTCTCTCTCTCCCTTTCCCCCTCCCCAAACAGGAATCGATTCTGAAAAGATCCCCATTCCTCTCAACAATAACTCTCTCCCTCGGCCTGACTGTAAGTAAACTTTCCACCTGCTCCCCCTCTTCCTGCTGCGTGTATTGTTCACAGGTGGCATCAGCCTAGTGAGACAGATGTTAAATCACTATGATGTCAGCTGTATAGGAGTCTTCAGTAGTTGGTCTTCGTTAGGAAAAAAGAAAATGAATTGAGGGCTAAAGAGAAGGATTCATTGTGCTATTAAAGACCACTCTGTCAGCTCCCACCCACCCCTCAGAGTTGGAGTGGTTGTTCTCATCTATTCAGACTTGTGTGAGCCTCCTTGAAGCAAAGCACCATTAGTGGGTCGTCTCCCTTCTGCTTGGGTAGGCCCGAGGAGCCCGGGGCCCTCTGAGGCTTTTAGAGAGGTGATGAGAACAGCTCTCAGATGCTGGATCCCGGGCACAGTCACTGCTTTTCCAGGTCTCCATTAACTCTTGAGTGGAGCCCGAGGTGCTCTCATACTTTCTTTTCCATGTATGCCTTTTTTTTATACTGTGGCCATCGTATCATATTTTTGCATCATGCGATTATGGAATTTCTTATGCTGTAACCCCCCCCTTTTCTTTTTCTTTTTCTTTTTTCAGAGTGGCTTGTTTGTCTGATTCTTAATTTGTGTCATTTTTGTGTCATCAGTAGATGGTGTTACCGCTCCCACCACCTCCACCCAGGTGTTCTATATAAGCGTGAGTGTCTGCTGCATTGTCATCTTCCTCGTGGCCATCATTCTGGCCATCCTGCACCTGCACAGCATGAAGAGAGTGGAGATGGAGGACAGGTACGGTTCTTTTGCTTGTTCTGCTTCCAAAGAAATCTTACACCCTGATGCATGAGTGACGTCTTAAGAGCAGCACTTCTTCCTGTAATCTCCACTTCAGATGAAGCTTGCACAGGTTATCAATGTGAAATTAGATCAGCACATTCAGAAAGGTTTGCCATCGGGACAGTCAGAAATTTTAACAAGCTAACACACTTATCATTTTAGACATTTTTAAATTCAATTGTGAATTTAAAATCATTCTCCTCCCAAACAAAATCTTTAATAAAAGGGCCACGTCATATCTTAGAGAC